TTCGGGAAGTCACATTAGGGCCACCGGAGCGACCCACCGTAAAAATAGCGGAAATTTTAAAACTTTTTATCAGAACATGTAACTTATAAAATCATTTATCACTATTTAAAAATAAAACAGATTTCCAAACTCGTATATAAATCAAAATACAATTACATGCCCCCTAATCACAAGTACCATACTCTGCAACCACGCCGGAAGAACTCCCTTACTGAAGTCGATAGATGCACTGGTACAATTGTTTTAACCTGAAAATGTGAGTAATAGAGTGAGCTTTGGAAAGCTTAGTAATACAAAACTACCAGATGATGCTACATGACATGTAGATAAATGGAAAGCCATATAATTTCCTTATTGAATCATACGTACACCAGCTTGCAGAATAATTTGGGGTTCCCTTAGAAGTTCATCGAGTAGAAACCATGAATCTCAATTCATAAGAAACCTTTCAAAGTATGACATTTTCAAGAGATCGAATAGGATGTCTAGTGTGTTCCAACTGTATAATAAAATCATAATAGGTACAAATCATAGTCCAGCAAATCTCACAATTTCGTAAAAGAGTTTAACTTTTGAAAATCATAGTTTAAACCCTTTTCTGGTACACCATCAGTAGTTCCCAAAAATTATTTTCCATATAGCTTACTTTATGCACATAGCAAAAAGAAAGCCGACTTAAGGATAGGCTCTGAAGCTTGTATCCTTAAGCCCAAGTCAATAAGTCCATATAGCTTACCCTAAGCACACAGCAAAGGAAAACCGACCTAATGAAACATCTTGGGGCCCTCAAGAGTCACATTAGGCCCATTTAGCTTGATCAGAGCTATTCTATCGTAATTCAATTCCAAAATTCAATTGCACCGTGACATAAATTCCATAAATCCAAAAACATGGTAATCAAATACCATTTCAAAACAAAAATTAGATAGCAGCCATATTCCATAAATTGTCACATAAAATTGGTGCATCCATAAAACAATAACCAATGAATTCGGTGTACCACATATTAAAACCAATAAAACAGTTCAGCAATAAGTAGGGAACACACTAGAGAATCCAAGTATTTCCAGAGGCCATTGTAGTTATCATTTTGGATAACATGAAACTTATGAAATTTGAACGAATTCCTGGAACAAGGTCCTATTGAGGAGAATCGATTACTAACCGATCTAGCCAGACATTTAATGTTGATACATTAGAATCCCACTATATTTTCGTCTGCTTTAGGAAAACATTCAGGAACCTTTATACATAATAATTCTAAATTCAGATTTACTGCGAGTGATTCCATTACCCAAACAATCAGGGGTATTCAGGAATATACTTTAAATTCATAGGATTTCAGCCCAATTAAACCAAATGAGATATTCAGAATCTTTTCCATCTGCGTTACTTGTTTTTTTTTCAAACATGACCGAAGTGATTTTAGATGAAATATAGAATCGAAGATTCAAGTCATTTACAATCTACGACTATCGATCATATTATCAAACAACTCGAGTTACACAACTCTCAAACTGATGCATGTCAACAAGTCAATTCATTATCCTTCCAGTGTATTCACTCTTTAATACCATAGTGTAGATCCATAGATCATCCCCATAATCATCACTGAATAAATCTTCCAACGGTCTTTATTTCATTTCCATGTTTCAACAATATCAGGAAATACTGACGTACTTGATCCATGGCTCATAACCCATAATGACAATTCATCATGTAAGTTCAACAGTGTTTCCAAACTCATCAAATCACCTATTTAATCCTTAGTCATTGACGTTACTTAGTTCGTTGGTAAGCAAGTCTATCCCGATTACTTTAAAGTTTTCCAGAATAATTCAGACGTTTCTGAATTTCAAATACAGGTTGTACTTCATTTCATTTCAATTTATTCATATAATAAAGTCATTCTGGTATTCGTGGTTGATTTGACTAACGACTACCCACTTATTAGTATTGTATGCGCTCTAGAGTTGAGCTGCGCCAAGTACTTCCAGAATTATCATCGATCCAAATTTGAGAAGATGAACAAACATTCAAGTGATACTTATATCATTCAGGTAATGATATAGTACTAACGTTGGTTAATCACTTAAGTTGCGTTCCACAACTTTTACTGGTAGCACAACATCCATGTTTATTTGGATTTCTTAATTAATCTAAGACATTTACTTATTCTAGGTCATAAGGGCATTTTGGTCATTTTGGTGCTTAACATTTTTTTTCTATTCATTTCAAAGCTTGAGTATATCCATTCATTCCTGAGCTTGGTGACATTCTTGAGTCATTTCCATTCCAGGGGTAATTTGGTCATTTTATAATTCTAGAATATTTCAATCATTTCCTTCCATCCGGTCTTATTATTTAATTCTATCTTATCATTTACTTCAGTCATTTCGAACAATTCTGTCAGCAGAATACCTCCGATAAATTACTCTTCAAATATTTACTCCTTATTCGAATATTTTCGGGTCAAGTGTCTTCTCAGATTTTACAAACGGAATATTATAAATTTTTTTGTACAAAGACATGATCTTAACAATTAAATTCGTACTTAATCGAGTTAAGTACAAATCCTCAAAGTACTCTCTCATTCAGGGTCAATTCAGACTATTTTATCCCTCAAGGGCATTTTCGTAATTTCTTAACCAGATAATTTCAATATTAGCTCTTAACGAAAATAATTATAATTTAAAGATCCTATAATCAATTGCTTTCCCGAACATTCTTTGATTTTGAAATGATTTCTTCACAAACTCTCATAGGATTAAAACCGGTTATCCATAATTTCCAAATAAAACTAACATTATCTTATTCATGCATTTACCAATATCAACATGTTCCATAAAGCATAAAGAGGTAGTAAAGTATTACCTCGATTTTCGTGCAATACTGATCGACCATAAAAATTCCATTCGAACGCCTTTGATCTTCAATTCAACTTCCAATAATTCCTCAGATACATATCAATATAAATTTCATAAAAAAAACGAGGCTTAATTCCGAAAAATGGATCGAATCGGATGATTAATCAGTGAAAAACAACTTACCGGGTTTGAATTTGGCGAAACGAACCTCAAAATCGGAACATCAACAAAACCCCTAATATTAGTCTTAAATTCCAGCTCACCAACTTGATTTCTAGCTTCCAATCTTTTTCTAACGAACACGGATAATTTATCGTAAAAATACGACTTCCAATAATTTTCCTTGCCATAAAAAAATAACTTATTAGAATCTAATTAAAAATTTGGAAACAAAATTGATAAAACTAAAAACTTATGGAGCCACTATATATATTCAATTACTAAAATCAAGGACTAAATTGATCTTATTGAAACCATTATGTCATAATCATAACAATATGGAAACTAGAAAACAAGGTTAGCTTTTACTAAACTTGGATGATTCACCTAGTAATTTACCCTTTTTTTCACTTTATCAATAATTCTTTCAAATCACGTGAGCTCTGAACAAATGCTTAACTTTTATACTTCAACACATTTAATATATTCAATTTTTTTTTTTAAGCTTTACCGTGTTCTCAAAGTGAAGCAGGAAAGCTTCAACGACCAACAGCCAAACGCGTTGACCACCACGATGGTCGCCGCCGCCGGTTGTCGGTCTAACCCGTAACTCCACCACTTAAGCATCTTGGTCTCCTCGTCAAGAATACGGACTCCAATCATCAAGAAACTCCTTGGATAATCATAAATCTACAAGAGAAGTTTCGGCCATCGCAAGCTTCAACTTCCCCGATCTCCTTTGTTTGCCGATGAATAGAGTCACTTCCGAGATATGTTGGTTGCCTTGTTGTTGGGAACATCTCCACCGTTACTATTTCTCAACGGTCATCCAGATCATTAGAACCGAGAACCAAAAGTTTCGTTGAGAACAATCAGTGTTATTTGCTGTCATTTAAATGGAATCATAAGGTCACCTTCTATTTTATTATAAAAATGGATATTGTTGTTGGAAAATGACAAAGCAATTAATTTCTTTAATTGATTTCCAGCTTGGAGGATACTTGCCGAAAATGAAAGCTGGAAGCAATGGGTTCCAGACAATGCCATTATCACTAATCTAATCCACCCAAAAATTTGTCCATTTATACCTACTATATCTTCCTCAATCTATTTAATAAAATAATGGTCTAATAAGACAATTATTTTCCAACCATCTTTATATCATTTCACATTTTAAACCATAAGAAATCTAACCCCATATTGGGGTGTGACAGACATATGGAATATTTTGCACCTTGTATTATTAGTTGTTTTTAAGAATTATCCTAATCCCAGGAGCCATGTTCTGCCCCTGTCACAGCTAGGCTGCCAAAATCATTCAATCACTTTAATTTAATCACTCTAATTTACTTCGAAATGTTTATTTTATTTTACATAAAATAATTTTACCGAAATATTAAGATTTTACGTGAAAAAAAAGCTCAATTGTGAAAAGTATAGACCAACAATATATTCTTCCATTTCAAGAAGTTGGCCAACGGGATTGATTAACTTAACTACTTAAGTGTCAAATTGTTCCACTTCCAATTTGCTACACAATTCTATATTTGTTTTCCCTACTTGCTTACGAAAGATGATGGCCATTAACCACCATCCGTCCGTATTGACGATGATCTCGGGTGGGCAAATGTCCACCTTAAAATTTAATTTTTTTAATAATTGTATCTATTTTAAAATTTTATGTGATTAATATTAATATATATATATATAGTCACCCTAAAAAATATTTTTGGATCAGCCATGTATCATCCTCTTAAAACAATGGCTAAAATAGGGAACTACCCTTCATCAATCATCAATCAAAATAGGCAAATTTTTTAATTTGATAAGTTAGTAATAATAATAAGATGATAACACGAATAGAAATCATGGACCGTCGGTGTTAGTTTTTGTATCAAAGAAGATTTGTCTTGTTGAAGACTCTAAGAGTATAGCCAGCTAATTCCAGCAAAGTCTCACTCCTTATTATCACTTAAAAACCCTCACCCATGGCTCTCCAGCATCATTAACTAAGGAAAAAGGACATGGCTTCAGCTCTTGTTTCTTCCACTGTCTTGTCTGTGTTTCTTGTTTTTGTTGCCACGGTCTCGGCTCAAACACCTCCGGCTGCGGCTCCTTCTGGTCCATTGAACTTCACCGGCATCCTCGACAAAAATGGCCAATACACCTATTTTCTTCGCTTCTTAGCCGACACTCAAGTGGATAGCCAAATTCAGAACCAACTCAAAACCACCACTGAAGGGTTCACCGTGTTTGCTCCGACCGACAATGCCTTCAACAACCTTAAACCCGGTCTCGTCAACAGCCTCGACGAGCAAAAGAAAGTACAAATGGTGTTGTACCATGTTCTTCCGAAATACTACTCCTTGAACGACCTCCAATTCGCGAGCAACCCCGTTAGAACTCAAGCCACGGGTCAAGACGGCGCGATTTTCGGGCTCAACTTCACCGGCCAGAACAACCAGGTTAACGTCTCGTCCGGCGTGGTGGAGACGCTGGTTAACAACGCGTTGTACCAAAAGAAACCTCTGGCAGTTTACCAACTCGACAAGGTGTTGTTTCCCGAGGAGTTTTTCGAAGCTAAATCACCAGCCGGTGCTCCTTCACCGGCAACCACTAAGAAACCATCGGAGCCTAAATCTAGCTCAAAGGCCAGTGAGCCTGCCGCTGCCGATAATTCTGGCTCGAGCGGGAGGAATATTGGATTAGGGTTGGCCATTGGGATCGCATTGGCTTGCATGGGATTTCTCTCATGACCATATGAAGTTTGTGTCATTTTGTCGTCGTAATTTTCCATCATAATTTAATTTCTTGGTTTCTCGCATGGTTCGATAAAAGGGTCAGGTTGCGGCTTTGAACATATTGTCTTTCTTCTTCATCTTTTTGTTGATTTTTCTTCTGCATCGATTGATGTTAATAATAATATGTGAGTTTCTGCTAATGTTCGAGTCTCTCTTCTCTTTTCTTATCACATATATCTGAGCTTAATGCTATTTTCCTGGAAAATATTTAGAAGAACTTTTAAATATATAAGTTGTTTTTTTCATTCTATTAAGGATTAATTCACTTTTGAGTGTCTAAATTATACTTCAAAATATGATTTTGTGTCTAATTTTTTTTTACTAATAATGTCTCTAACGTTTTCAACATTACATTTTTAGGTGTCTGGACCATAACAATCGTAAATGTGACCGTTATCTAATACGTGTCACGCATATAAATTTTCAAATTTTATTTTATTTAAAAAAAAACTTAATATTATAATTAAAAAAACCAAAAAATTCCCCAATTTTACATCTTCCGCTGCCGGTTAGCCATCGTCGGTCCATGAACGTCATCATTGATATCATCAGAACCGTCTCGACCCCACGATCAAAATTCAGTCTCCCACCCATCATGAAATTGTATCGATCGTCGTGAAAAATGACACAAAAGGTCGCTAGATTTATGGGTTTTCCGATGTTGTTTTTAGACGATTTTGACGGCTACAGTCGTCCGTACGTTACACGACCGTCACTATTAAGTTTCTCTTCCTGCTCCGAACAAAAATCGACTGATGGTGACCCTTTTGTCATCAGAGGTGGGGGACGGGAGGAAGAGGTACGACGCGGAGTTTAATTTTTTTAATTTTCTCTTTTAAAAAGTAATATTTTTATGAATAAAAAATTAAAGATAAAAATATATGATAGGTTACTAAAAGTGTAACGCAAAAAATATTAGACACCTATTATTAAAAAAAATTAAACATCAAATCGTATTTTGATAAATATTTTAGTAACTAAGAAAATATTAAACCTTCTATTAACTATAAAAAAAGAAATAGGTGACTTTCATTTTCTAGCAAAGGTGTTTCTTCATCAACCTTTGTAAATTTATTTGGTGGGAAATAGAAGGCAATACGGGGCCCTCAACTTTTTGTAATTCAACATGGTCTTTGTTTGTTTATTTTATTTGTTGTCATTCTGGTTTTAAGTCTTCGTCCCAGTTAATTTAGATTGATCCGTATTGTATATCTAGTTTTGACGGATGAATCTCTCAACAAAAGTAGCTGACCCTATTCCCATATATAATGAGATAAGGGGAGGTAAATAGGCTGTCCTCAACGCCAGGTTGAGAACAGCTTCCGTGGGAGACCTCCGGCAGTCAGAATTATCAATTGCCCACCGTGGAACTCGATCCCACAACCACAAGGTTAAGAGCCTTGTGCTCTATCAACTGAGCTCGAACTCGAACTCGATATATCAAACTACTTACAACGTGTTCATTGTTTGTTTATTTAACATAAAGTGAATCATTTAATGTTTTCTTTCTGCAGTTTATACAGTTAACATTACTTCATTCCATTGCCATTCCTTTAAAAATTTACTTGATAGAAAGTGCTTAAAAAATGAGCAAACCTTTGGGTTAGGTGCGGTTGGTAGAACAACACCACCCCATCAAAGCTGAACCGAAGACCAAGAGTTTGCATCAATCCAGTTAAAAGCTATAGGGCTTAGAAAAGCATCAGGGATGCCAAAGGAACTGACTAAAGCAAGTGCATGTGGTCGAAGTTCACTGCATAGTTTTGTTACTTCTCTTCTCACTTCACCGCCACTGATAGATATCCATATCGGAGATACGTAACATCTTCGAGACAACTCAATGCGTATAATGATCTCACCATTCCCAGAACATCCTACACAAAAAGGAAGATTCAGCCAGTTTTACAATCCTAACAAGAACTCTTAACATTATCTGATGTGCTCACCTTCAATGAACTAGCAGCTAGAGTTGCTTCTGCCTCGACTAATGTTTGGAATATCGCTCGATCCGAAAACGCTTTGCTCAAGTCCTCTGTTAGCTGATAACTCTGGTGTGGATCAAGTGATTCGAGTATTAGACTAGAATGTGGAGAGGGAATAAGAAAACAAGTGCTTCCTCACCATGATGAATGCATGCTCTTTACATTCTCTCCTGGCTTGACATTGTGAGACATCCGCAACAAAACGATTTAGAAGCTCTCTCTCCCTTAAGCACAAGGCATCCATCTGACATAGGGGTTATTATTCGATCGAGATGAATCAAATCGAGTGGAAAATATTCGATTTACTTGGTTTGATGAGTACTGTTTTACCTGGAATTGGCTGCATCTGAGGGTAGTGCTGTTAAGCTGTGATGGAATGACAGGGCAGGGTTGGTTCATGTGTTCTAAACCCAAACCCTTGAACACCTTGTTTCGCTTTTGGGCCGCCACATATTCGGCGAAAAAGAGCTTTGCTGACCTGAACTAACATGTTCAATAAGCAATCGTCCTTGTCAAGAAAGTGTCATAAAAGAAGGAAGCAAATGCTTACCTGCTGCATCAAAATATTGTTGTCCCCCACGAAAGTGGATTCTACATCAAGTTCAGCTATCAGATGACCGACACGATTCTCCGTCTTTAATGCCTGTCCTCCGCAAGCTTCACGACATTCCTGAAGCATTCAATGATCGAATGTCTGTAACAACGACACTCGCTGTTGAAATGTTCAACTTGATCCAAAATTGTTTGCAATCTCACCTGAAGTATTTGCATGTTACTCCATGTAAAAGTAGCCTTGAATGAACTTGAAACCACATGCATGGTCTTGCTTGATTGGGGTGTCCTCTTCACATACATTAGCTTAAACGTCGTGCCCATCCATTGGCTTCGACATCTCATTGACGCCGAACGCGTACTTCTCGGAAAGCTCGGGCGGCGAGTAGCTTAAACAGTCGTTTCAAGCAAGACAAGCGGTCTGAGCCGAGGAAGATAGGAGGTGGTGATTGATTAAGATTCCGGTTCTCTGAAAAGCTCGATCCATTTCTGAATTATTATTTTTTTTCGGTTTTGCTTTTCTCTGAAGAACGATGTGACTAATGATATTTGAGAAACAGGCGTTTCGTTAAGAACCAGGAATATGTATATCACGCGCTAAAGGTAGAGTTAAAACGCGCGAGAAGTTATTTAGTACTTTTATCTACTCGCGTTTTGATTGGATGCATGAAGTGGGTAGGTGATGAAATCACACGATCAACTAACTTTAAAGAAACACGTGCTTTGTTTAATGCCACAAATTATGAGTTGGAAAATGTTTAAAAATTATTTCTATATATATGTCTATATTTGGCTTATATCGCAAAATAAGTATTTAAAATATATTTTATTTTTTATTTAATTATTTAAAGTATTTTTTTTTATCAAAATAAATACTTAAAGTTATTTTTTAATCAAAATAGGTACTTAAAGTATTTTATGTCAAAATAGGTATCTAAACTACTTAAATTTTTTCATCTAAGTTTTAAAAAGAAGTTGACATGTGACATTAATTAAAAGATACTTTATTTATTTGTATAAAAAATTAAATACTTTAGTTACTTATTTTGACAAAAAATATAACTTTAATTAGATACTTATTTGGACAAAAAATACTTTATGTACTTAAATAAAAAAGATGATATACTTTAGGTACTTATTTGTTATGTAAACATTTATATTTTACGTATATAAGTTATAATATTTTATTTAAGGGTAAAGTACATAAAATGATCTTTAGATATAGGGTACTATTTTATTGACTTTCGCGATTATTAAAAGTTATAAAATTGTCATTTAATTGTAGGACGTTATTTTGTTGAGTGTCTCGACTATTAAAAGTTACAAAATAATCACCTGACAATTGACATGTTCTAAACTCGTACTTTTCATTAAAAAATGACGTCAACCTAAGTTAGACATTAACCTACTGATTGGATATGATAAAATATAATCCCAAAAACTCAAATGATTGTACAACTCAAATAGTTCTGGGATAAAATTTAGAAATACCCAATCAGTATGTTAACTTTTAACTCAGACAATCATTAATTTTCTAATGGAAAAAGACAAGTTTGAAACATATGAATAGTTAGATGATCATTTTGTAATTTTTAATAGTCGAGAGACTCAACAAATCAACACCCTATAGTTAGAGGGCCATTTTATTACTTTTAATAGTCATGAGACTCTACAAAGTAATACTCTATAGTCAAGGGACTATTTGTGTACTTTACCCTTTGTTCAATATTAAATTTTATGTTGTTTACTTGGTTTGATTTTATTTGACGATCTTGTTAATATATTCATACTCTTTTTATTAATCTGGGATAAGTATGAGACAATATCTGTTTAAAGATAACTTTAAATCTTTCAACATTGAACGCTCACACCCCTAACATCTATGATTACTCATAATCAGTAAATAGAGGTACTAGTTGAGTTATGAATTTGTTAAAGTCTCATTATTATTATATACGGTTTTATGTGAGTGTTAATGATGCATATCTTTCGTCGTCGATACTAATGTATGTTTATCTCTATCATATTTTTTTCAATTTTATATTTTGATGATTAAATAATAAATGGTCAGTTAATATAATTTGATCTATTCTAAATTTATAAATTCTTTGTATAACTTTATTTTTGTTTTCTTTTTACTTGATAAAATTAATAATTATTATTAATTAAAAAATATAACAACATGATATGAATAGAAAATTAATTTTATAAATACTGTTTAGGTAATATTAAATGTCACGTTTATTTATTTTATAAAATTTTAATTTTATTTAAAAATATATTTGAAAAAATTATTGAAAGAAGTAACCCGACGATGGACTAAAATCAAATGCGTCAGGGACCGAATCAGGAACCGATGGCATCGTCCCGTAGAGTGAGCTGTGGTTCTGCTGCTCCAACTCGTACGAGTTAAAGCCCAGATTCACTCCCGAGTCAAACCCATTTGCGGTTTGATCCGATAACTCGAAAAGGCCTGTGTTATTCCAAGCTCCATAACCCATGTCCGAGCCCGATCCGTACCCGTAACAATTGGAGGAGACGTCAGGAGGCAAAGGTGGCAGCTCAGAGTCATCCCTGAACTGTAGAGAGCCACCGTTTCCGGCATCCATGAGTCCAGTAATGGGCCTGTAAGACTCAACCGCATCGCTTTCCGCCGGTAACCCGGAACAAAACTGGCTTACATCGAAAGGGTCTTGGTTGAATAAAACCGGGTTCTGGCCAGCATCAGGAAGAATGGACATGTGGTGAAGTGATGAATCATCGGGGGAAATGATATTGGTGACGGATGATCCAACCGGCATATCGGAGTAGACGAAGTTGGTTCGAGCCTTGGGGCCACCCATGGAGCGAGATGCACGATCGTAGGCCAAGGCGGCATCCTCGGCCGTGTCGAACGTGCCGAGCCAATGCCTTTGTTTTGTGGAAGGGTCTCTTATCTCGGCTGCGTACCGACCCCATGGCCTCCTCCTTACTCCCAAGTATCTCATTTCTTCTTGCGGTTGCTGGTACTGTTGCTGCTGCTTACGCTGCTTTCTTTTCGAATAGGAAGGCTCTGAGCTGTTGAAATCCATGGCGATCGATGAAGAAATATGTGGAACCGATGGTTTTCAATGATACTTGGACTTGTTCATCGGCTGTTTGAATGTTGGAGTGTTTAAATTGGCAGATTGTTCACTGTTCCCATCATCATTCATCTAACTGGAGTTTAATGATTTCTCCATTGAGGAACTGCAATCATGGGCTCATCAGCAGAGCTTAATATATATATAAATATATACACGCCGATGATTGACATGTGCTACTTGAATGATTATCAACTTCTTTCTCTCCAAAGATTCGGACATGCGAGCTTGGAGGAGAGAAACAGCAGGGAGAGTCTCGGATTTGAATCAGGAAATCATCATCAAATCTTTAGTACTCATGATCATGCATGAATTTGATCTGAGTATTACTTTATAAAGTTCGGAAAGGTTTAGTAATAATTTCTCCACACGCAAGGGTGTAAATGTATAGAGATTCGATGAATTATTCGTCAACCGTTAGTATAATTTTTGTTTGTTAAGCTAAATTAACGAGTATGAGAATTTCTTTTTGTTCATTTAATAAACGAACATAAATATAGATGTGCACGGTTCATTTTCAAGAAAAAAACTCATTTGAAAACTTCTTTATAAGTCTATTTAAGAACTCATTTATCTGGTTATCTATTTCCTTTTATTTTTTTACATTTTAAATATTGATGAAGATTTAGATTACATTGAACATGAAGTAAACTTTGGAATTTAAATTGTGAATCATAAGGAGTAACAGTTAGGGACGTAATTCCGTTATTTTTATAAACATATAAACAGACATGCTCGTGAATGCTAAACAATCATAATGACGAGAACGAACAAAATTACATTAGTGGTAAAAAGGATGGTTATTATAACGAGAGGTCTCATATTCGTGCACCAGAAACAACATAATATTTTGTCCATTAGAATAATACTATCAATTGTAAGCACGCTAGATTAATTAAAAAACCAAACAAGCATGTTGATCAACATCCAAATAAATATGTTCGTATACGTTAAGTTAAATGAATATATTCATAAACGCTAAAAACCTGAATACAAACATCTTCAAAAATAAACAAACAAATAAAAATATTATATTAAAATTTTAAACGAACAAAACCAAATAAAAATATATTTAAAAAAAAACTGACGAAAAGGAACATCTCTTTCATTCCAACATAATTTAAAACCCCTACCCATATGATTACAGAGTGCATGATCACAATCCAATCATTATTCCGATCATCATTCGATCGCAGTACGCAGTACCCATCATTTCCATAGGTAACACTAGTCTAATCACGTTATCATATCACACGTCCAAGGTTTTCTAAAAGAATGATAAGCAACACTGCACACTTTCTGGTGTTTTCTCTCCTTTGGCAGGTTTTGGTGCTACATTGTGGGCTTTTGTGTGGGCTTTCATGTAATCATGAATAGGGATGGACATGAATCAGGTTAGATAGAGTTTTTAATCCACCGACTCGATTTGAAAATAATAATTTTTCCACTTCAGATTTGACTCGATCCACATGAAATAAGGTTTTACCCGATCTGATCTGATATATAATTTAAAAATTCGAACGACCCAAAATAATAAAAAATATTATGTTTATTCAACAAAAATAGTGACTTAATTAAAAATAATAATATATAGGGTATTATTGTAATTATTCATAGATATATAAGATAAAATTATATTTTTTTTCGGATCGGATATTTTTCACCCTAAACTTGACCCGAACCCGCTTTTTTTTTAAACCCGACCCAATCGAGTAGGGTCAGTCGGAACCCGTTGGGTTCGGGTCTCATGCCCATCCCTAATCATGTATGGTTGATAAGGTGCGACTTAATTTCAGATAAATTACGTATTTAATACTTAAATTATTATTTTTAGTAATTAAATTTTTAATTTTTTAAAATCGTACATAAGATTTAATTTTTATTTCATTTTAGTAAATGACATTTTTTATGGGTAAATTATATCATTCATCCCTTAACTATCTTTTCACTCCAATTTTAGTCATTAAAGTTTGAAAGACTTTCAATTTAACTACACAACTTTCAAATTGCTCATATTTTAATCACTTTAATTTATTTTATTAATAATATTTTGTGACGTGATATTTTTATTAATATATAAATTAAATTAAAAAAAAATATGAAAGTTAGAGTGATTAAATTAGGAATAATTTGAAAATTAAGTAATTAAATTAAAAAAATTAAACTTCAACGACAAAAATCGGAGTGAGAAGATAGTTGAGTGTTGAATGATGTAATTTACTCATATAAAGGTGCCAAGTTGTAACAGTTCCGATAAGTTTTTAACGACGAGTATTAAAATGAAACAAAAACTAAACGATATGTATGATTTTGAAAAAAATGAAAATTTAAGTACTAAAATGACTAAAACTGGTAGTTTATGTACTAATCACGTAATTTTCTCCTTAATTTATTATTAA